GCAGCGTCAGAGGTGGATAAGAGACAGCCCCTTCCCCCTTCCCCCAGATTCGACGATGGTTGCTCTCGTCGCTGGATCGATCTTCGGACTTCACACTATCGTCTAGCGCCCACCAAAGACAGCAGCGAAGACATATGAGTGTGTAAGTCACTATCTTGTTATGAGAGAGTACTTTGCTCTGGTGAGTCAGACCAAACAGCATTGTTTTTCACGGACCCAAACATTAGAAAAGAGAAGTCTGCATGCGATATTCGGTCGATGAGTAGAACTTATCATTCTACCGGATGCATAGAGCTATGTTAAGAGTTATAACGTTCATTCATTCATCATGTTGCAGTATTCGTTTTCTGGATGGTGCAGGTCCGTCATCATTCAAAGAGATAGCCCCTCCCATCTCCCTGTAAAAGGATTGTATGAACACCATATTGTAAACCCATATACCCAGCCGAGCGCCAAAATCAAAAAGCAACCGAAATGCAAAAGTCTCAATTTTTCTTCCTGAGCTAATTGGGCTCTCCCTCGTCGTCATCAAGGCTTGGAACGATGACGTCCCAGCCAGGATCCTCCAAGTCGAGGTCAATGTCGAGGTCGCCATCTTTCTCGGATTGCTCACGGGACGTCCGAAACCTGAAAGCAATCACCTGTCCATTCCGTATATCTGCTGCTTTCAAACTGGTCCTCTTTCCAGCACCTCGTTTGGATGCTCCGCCGTTCTCAAGTTCTGGCATCGCAATCTCCAGTTTCGACCATCCTTTTTCTAGGTCGTTCTTGTCCACCGGAACACCAAATTCAATTTCTGAGAAGTCTTGCGGTACGGCGTCCCCGTTGATTTCTTTGATCCCTCGCGATTGGAGAGCTTTGAGAAGCGTCTCCTGGGCTGTCGTAATGGTCTCGTGGGGCGGAAGCATTAAAAGCACGGTAGTTTTGTGCTTCTTGAACAAAAGCGTCAAACTCAGAGGGTCCAGCTGTGACTGTAAGATAGTGTCATGTCAGAAAGATTTCCAAGAATCCCACTGTTGCGCTCACGCTGTTTACTTACCATGGTGGCCGTTAATTTCTGATATGCGGGCTTGAAGAAGCTTTGGTGGGACCTTGGAGCTCTCAGTACAGACTCGGGAACTCGGAGTAGTTTAGTGCGTCTGTCAGTCTCCCACTATCTATCCGCAACAAAGCTGCAAACATCCAGCGCACCACTCCTACTGGCATCGACTAATTCGAGTCAGATACAGTCACACATTTGTATGGAATAAGACCGTTCAGTTACTATAATTCGACATCAGATTCTCCCTGCCTCAACATGGACACCGATTCCCCGACCGAGACGCGCTCTTCCGAGTCTTCAACTTTATTGAAGATCCTCCACTGGGACAAGCTGTTCGAATCCGATACTCCTCCAAGATTAGGTATTGAGGTCGGAAAGCGATTGCCATTTACAGCTTTGTCGGCTTTCTCTGTTGGTATGGCAATCGGATCTTCGCATGGAAGCAAGAAGGCCGCGTACCGTTTTCGCGCTGAAAATGCGCATCGCTTTCCGACAACATCGACGGGATGGTTTCAATACCATAAGACTAAAAATTACATAGCGATAGTCGGAGGTGTTAAAGAGGGTATGAAGATGGGACTTAAACTCAGCGCTGGTGCGCTTGCGTTCTGCCTTTTCGAAGAGACTGTGGACTATGCTCGACACGACAGGAGGGATTTCCTGTCGACTGTCACGGCTGGACTGTCCTTTTCTGGCATTTACAGCTTGCTAGGTATAGCCCCGCTTGGCTCAATGTACCCGTGCGATAGGATGACATCTAACTAACGATATTCTATAGCCCGGCACGACGTCTATACGGCTGCTCGCACAACGAAACTCGGCTTGAAATTGAGTCTAGCTTATGGGCTAATGCAGGATGCTCTTGAGACTCTCAAGGGAAACCGTCCGGCCTATGTCGATTTCATTTTAGGTAACCGTGGAGGCAAGAACGAGGATTGAGGCAAATCCACAACTGAATCTTCCCGCTCTCTGGTGACGATTATGAACCCAAGTTTCAGCATGTCTTTCACACCGACATATCACCTGGCGATACCTCGATGGTCAACACAGAAGTGGCGGCAGATGAGTGCAGAACCACAGATGCGGTCTGAATGTCAGACTTTTCTGATGTTCAACTTCAGGCAGAAAGTCAGGCCTTTGACCGAGATCTATATCTCGCGAATCCGCAAAAATCACTTAGCACAATGATATGCGGTAGGCTAAGGATTCCGGATCGTTTCTCGATGATACCCTTCCTTTCCCAGGCTGGGGTTACAGCAGGAAGATTGAACTCAGTTGTCGCAGTTTGACAGGCTTGGACTGTCATCGCTGGGAAGTCTGGCAGCTGCCCCTCATTTTCAATCTACGGACTAGCAGTGAGGTATGAGACAAGACAGCTTCCTTTGGGGACTGAGTCATGTTTCTCCCACAAGTACATCATCCACACTATGAGCCACTCGCACTCTCTGACTTCGATCTCTATGATACTCGGGCTTTACCTAGGCTATATACCCTCCTCAGGTCTCAGATTTATTATTAATTTCGAGTCGGGAAGCATAATGTCCCACCCCTGGTGATAGAGAAAGGGGGACTAGGGCTTTCATAAAGAACATCAATATTAATGGCTTCGGTATTTCCCCGCAGTCATGGACACAAATTTCATGTAGAACTCCATGAAGGTTTAGAAATGCTTATCTACGGCTATGGAGTACTGAGGCGGCCAAGCCCGATCACCACGTAGGTATGTACCTTACCTAGCCAATAGTCAGGTGACATTATCGGTGTGTAGATAGGTAAAGTACCAAGTACCTAAGGTAGACATCGATGTTCTGGAACAGCAAGACAGGAGTTCTGAACCCCTGTGGGCGTCGCAATATGCATATACACTGCATAACCCATTGAAAATACAACTGACGATCTTCTAGATGTACTCAAAGTAGATACCTACAGTTAGTAAGCCTTACAACGATGGCTGCGTATTTCCACTATTATTCGGACAACTGCCGAATCCTTCTGCTGGACTAATAGACCGTCTGAAAAGCGAATGAAGAAGAGACTCAAAGCACAGAAAAAAGTCGACGAAGATGAACGATCCTAAATTCATCGCGTACTGGGTATTCTAATAGTAATCATACCTACCTTAGGTACCTTACCAATTGATGTGTGGTTGTTATCGTTCCTTACCTGCATTGCCCGCCGATCCTACCTAGATTAGATAAATTCTGACCGCTTCTGTCTGCACTGTTGTGACTTGTGCTGGATAGATAGCTGCGAGAATCTAGATACCCCACCACCGACATCTCTTTCAGCTTTTGTATCCATGGCCAATCTCCCGACTCGAATTGTTGTCCCGCATTTGCAGTACAAGGGTCGATGATTCATTCCCCTGTTGAGCATTACTCAATATTCTGTCTTGCATTTTCAGCCTCCTCAGCCTCTCCGTCATACACATGACTTTCGTTCCCTTTCGGATAGCTTGGACGACACAATAGAAAAATATTACCAATACCCGGGGAAGACAGCTGAGTACTGTACTGACTTGGCTCTACTGAATTAGTGGTGGAGCTCTACCACACTCCCACTATGATTTGACGTTGATGATCCCCGCTTTCATTAACATTTTGGTATTATTCTGTTGGAACGGTTTCTGCCGTCCGCTAAGCACCTACTACCATTACCACCTGTGTGCAATGCTTCTTCCTTTGCGAAATTCCGAGAATCGCTGAGAAGTTCCAGTCCCCATCTCATCACTACGTCCTGCATTGTCGAAACCTCAACGACTTCAGATGTTGCGCCATTACTGACGCCCGTTCTTTCCTCCCCCCACCCCCCGGCGATGCTTTTCTGAAGCTCCCGTGATCAACTACTCTCGTCGACGTCATCGGCCCATTGATCGCTTCCCGGCGAAGTATATGCTGCTTAATCGGACGACACAAGACCAGCTCTTTCTAGCGTCTATACCCGATTCGCAAGGCATTGCAACTCATTCATCATGCGGCGTCACGGCAGGGCTGGCGGAGGAACCAAGGCCGTCACGCCCGTCTCCGACACCGTCTCGTTGATACACTCATTCGACTCAATTACAAATCCAAATCGACCAGCACGACCGTCCCCGTTGGCATCCTCACATATTCAAGCATTACCTCTGGACCTGATTGATCGACTACGTTCCTTTCCCCTGTTCCAATCCACACCCGAATCGTTCCTGGTGGAGGTCGCACAGCATCTCCGCCCCCAGCTCAGTGCCCCGAACGATTATATCCTGACGGAGGGTGATGAGGCCAAGGCGATATACTGGTTGGTTCGGGGCGCTGTCTCAGTCACTTCTCGCGATGGCGAAAGTATCTATGCGGATTTGGAACCGGGCGCGTTCTTTGGCGAGATTGGGGTATTGATGGACCGGCCCCGAACAGCCACCATCATCGCTCGAACACGATGTCTCCTGGTCGTTCTGTCCAAAGAGGACTTCAGGAACATTCTTCCCCGATTTCCAGAGGTGGAGCGAGCGATACGGGATGAGGCCCAGGAACGATTGATGATACTGGAGAAGAAGAAGAAGGAAACCTCAATGCCTTCAGCTGACCTCCCTGGCCCAGCTCGAAGAGGCTCGAAGAGACTAAGAGATTCGTCCTCCGGAGACCTATCTCCTGTCGAACGTGAAGGCACATCCTTGAAGGCTGGCAACAAAAAGCGCAAATCACCAAGTCCTGGAGTCGGCGTTGCAGATGCTTCTTCAAGCGCGCTGGCGAACGGGTCGGTCAATGTCCGCCTCTTGCTTAAGGAATTGCCTCTCTTCTCGAGTCTTCCCCCGGATATACTGCACTTTCTAGGGCTCAATGCTCAGCCACGATCGTACCCTCCATTCACGGACATTATCCGACAAGACTCCCAGGGACGTGAGATTTATTTCATCGTGCGAGGCGAGGTTGAAGTTCTCACGGACAGAACAGACGCACAAGACCACCACTCTCTACCAACTACTATCGAGAAACCAGCATTCGAAGTCAAGGCAAGACTCAAACAAGGGCAATACTTTGGAGAGGTTGTGAGTCTCTCGCTGGCGCCCCGCAGGACAGCGACTGTACGCTCCGTGACTGCAGTCGAGTGCCTCATGCTTAGTGGCGATGTCCTCGCCGAATTCTGGGACAAGCTCCCCCAGAATGTCCGCCAGCAGGTCGAAAGCACGGCCAAGGAGAGACTTCAGTCTGCGTCTGATGGTGACGTCGTCATGTCAGATGCAGGGAGCGCTGATCAGCCCACCGATGGAGAGTTTAAAATCAGGGCTGCTCGGCGACAATCAATGCCCCTTTTGACGCTCACAGAGACGGAGTTGGATAGCCCGCGAGCTCCCAATGCCATGGAGGATCAGAATGTGCTGAAACCATCAGATCCTGACCCTTTTCTGAACGTTGGCTTGGACAAGGTCCGACTTCGCAGCCGGCGCGGGTCAGTCGCCCCGTTGACACCAGATGAGGTGTCTGGGGAGCAGCAGCGACAATCACCTCCATCTGGAACTCGTTCGACCAGGTCGTCCGTCTACTCCCTTTCCGAGACGTCGAGTTTGTCAACAACACAGAAGACACACCGCGAGTCACGCGCCGATAACGTCGGCATTCTACCGGACAATATACTCGTGAGGATTTTCCAACACCTGGAACTTCATGAACTTCTGCGCCTTCGAGCTGTCTCTCTGCACTGGTCTGAGATTCTTACCAAATCCGTTGAACTCGTTCGTTATCTTGATTTAAGCATGTATAATCGCAACCTCAGCGATGATGTTTTGGTCAAAATAATCTGCCCTTTTGTGGGAGAACGACCTCGCCACGTCGATATCAGCAATTGCTTCCACATCACCGACGAAGGTTTCTCGAAATTGGCCGCTACATGCGGCGCCAACATCGTCACTTGGAAGATGAAAAGTGTCTGGGATGTTACTGCATCTGCCATTCTTGAGATGACTGGCAGAGCGACTGTTCTACAGGAAGTTGATTTGAGTAATTGTAGGAAAGTCGGGGACACGCTGCTGGCTCGGATAATTGGCTGGGTTGCTCCGGGACCACATAAGCCCAACGGCGAGTCCGGCAAGACGGGCAAAGCAGGTTTGAAGCCTACCATGCAGACTGAAGCGGGCACTGTATATGGTTGTCCGCAACTGAAAAAATTAACCCTGTCATATTGCAAACATGTCACGGATCGCTCGATGCACCATATTGCGTCCCACGCTGCCTCCAGAATCGAGCAGATGGATTTGACCCGATGTACGACAATCACGGACCAAGGCTTTCAATACTGGGGAAATGCCCAATTTATCAATTTGCGCAAACTCACCTTGGCAGACTGCACTTATCTTACCGACAACGCCATTGTCTACCTAACCAACGCAGCCAAACAGCTACAAGAACTGGATTTGGTAAGCTTATCACTGTTCAGGAGCTTTCTTGCAGATCCGCTGACCGTCACCAGTCGTTTTGCTGCGCTTTGTCAGACACAGCGACAGAGGTTCTCGCACTCCAATGCTCGCAGTTGACCTATCTCAACATGTCGTTCTGCGGGTCCGCGATTTCAGACCCTTCTTTGCGCAGCATTGGACTCCATCTCCTAAATCTCAAACGGCTATCTGTCCGTGGCTGCGTCCGGGTCACAGGTGTGGGCGTTGAAGCGGTGGCAGAGGGCTGCAACCAGCTGGAGTTGTTTGATGTCAGTCAGTGCAAAAACCTCCTTCCCTGGCTCGAAGACGGCGGACCCCTCAGATACAAAGGCAAAATCGACTTCGAGACTGTTGCGCAGAATGGGAGAGTGTTTCGATAACTGCCATCGCAACTGCGGTCTGTTCCTTGAACCCTCCCCATCATTTTTGCAACCCTATAATCCACAGCTCTGCTCACTTTGACGGTATCGCCTAATCCTTGAATGGGCATATATTGCCCTCGAACTACCTATTATCTAATGCCTTTTCCCCCCTCGAATTCGTGGATCTACGCCCTTCCAACATTTTATGACCACCTCACCTCATACGATTTCACTATCGGTTTTCAGGATTTCCTTCTGAATGCTCAACCATTTTCTTGAATTCTCTGATGTGGCACGATCAGTAACCGTACTGGAATCGTTATATTAAGTATATCCAATTATCAGCATCGCACATGGTTTCCTTGGTTCCTCTGCATCGTTTCTCCGTTTCGTTGCCTTTACACTAGGACTCATTCTTTTAATTCTGTATGGGCTGCATAGGACTCGGGCGTGGGAGGAGTTTGATTGAGGGAAGAGCGTTTGGCGGCATTTTTCTTCGAAAGATTGGATTGGTGACAAATTTCATGTCATATTTGATGATATTGTCACTTCAGGGCCTTCTTCCTGTAACCTAGAATGCTGTTCTTTGACTTCCTTTTTTTTTGGAGCCACGAACGGATGAATAGACGAATCTCAAACTTCCGTCTGCTTTCATGTTTCTCAATCTTGCACACCCCTGATTCTTAGCTCCAGCAATTCTTTGTTCTTTGAGTCGTCAAAACTTCATTTTGTTTTCCCGGTACAGCATCGTCCTCTTTCATAAACCCTTTGTGCCAGTGCAAGGCAAGACGAATGAAGGAAAATAAAAGAGTAAGTCAGGGGTTGTTGAATGCTTTCTTTCATCAGCAACCTTCACCTTTGTTATTGATGCCATTCAGGTTCAAAACAATCTAATCCTTCAGAGACTGCGCTTGCTTTGAAGAGGGGATAGATCCCACAATGCCCCTCATGCTTCATCCGCTTTTCATTGAAAATCTTATTACGGCTATGACCAAAGGTCTTTCGCACTTTGTGAAGCTTGCAGGTCGATCCAGCAAAACTGATGTCTATTTTTGGCCTCTACCATGTCCATGAAAGATTTTGAATAACCCGATCTCTTTGTGCAAATTGACATTGTATACTTCAGAATGCTTTGTTGCTTCTGTATCTGAAGAAATGCCAACAATGAAGCCAATGTCAAAATGCACAGCGGAACCCCGTCAAGATGAGGTATAAGTACAGCTTTCTCTTTCTGCATTCTGGAACTCTCCGACAGAAATCAGTTCTATATCACAATCAGCTATCGTCTCACTCGCACTTCCTTTCCTGCTTCATCCTTTCAGACCGATTCGAAGTACAGACCACCCTCGGTCTTTGCACAAGCGGACTTCCTAGCAGTAAGTACACCAAGACAAGATGACTGGGAGAAAGCGGGGGATTGACGATGTCGACGGCAGCGACAATGATGACAACCGGAAGAAACAAGCGCGAGCCTCAGACCTAGGCAGTGGAGCGAAGAGTGGACAGTCCTCTTCAGCGTTGAACGCTGAAGCTGTTGCCAAAGCCCCGCAAACGACAGCTGCCGTTGCTGGCCAAACTGTGAGTAGTGAGGCCCTTGGTACTAAAACCGCTCCCGCAGAAGCTGAGCAAAGCAGAGACAAGGGGAAACAGAGGCTAGAACAAGTGCAGGAAGCAAAAGAAGCAACAAACGAAGCCAGCAAACGAAGCAGCAAACGAAGCAGCAAACGAAGCAGCAAACGAAGCAGCAAACGAAGCAGCAAACGAAGCAGCAAACGAAGCAGCAAACGAAGCAGCAAACGAAGCAGCAAACGAAGCAGCAAACGAAGCAGCAAAAGAAGCAGCAGGGGAAATCTCAGTCAACAACAAAGAGTCCACTGCAGGACCTTCGACTGAACCAAGCAACCAGCCTCGGGTGAAAAGGCAGCGTCGGAAAAAGGGCGAGCCAGTGCCAGACCCCGTGGAGAGGGCTCGTAGCAAGATTGAGAACAATCCTACCAAGCGTACCGACAGAGCCTGTGACTATTGCAGAGTAAGTGATCAATAACCCCTTCCTTCTCTGTCTTGTGCTGCAACGCATGGAATAGATGAGTACGCAAACGTATACCGTGAGTGGGCTCCTCTTTCAATTTTCCTCCTCATGCTTTTTTTCTGAGTTGCATTCCTCCTATTGCTCAGTTTTCTGCTACATAGAGACTAACCACCATCTTCTTTTCAGGATCGGAAGGTGCGGTGCGACAGCAATCCCGATGGCTGTGCGCAATGCGTGAAACAAAATATACGGTGCACATACACTTTCCGAGACCAGAATCCCTATGTTCGGGGAGGTCCGCAGGAGCCTGAACGGGCCAGAGACGAATTGAATCTTGAGGTTGGGAGGCTCCGCGCAGATGTTAACATGCTGCAGCGAGATGTTAACTTACTACGGCGAGATGTTAACCTGCTACGAGAGGAGAATATGCAGTTACGTCATGTGCTAGCGGGCTATCGGACAGCGTATCCTAACCACAATGTGAGTAACAACTCTTCTAACCTACACTGTTCTGTTATTTTGTCGGACACCTTGGCGAGACGTGCAGATGCTGACATGAGACTAGCAATTTCCTTGGTATCCTCCTCCGGCTGGGCAAGCGCCTACCTATCCCCCATACGGTGCGTATCCTCAAGCAGCAGGGCAAGGAGCTGCCTACTTCCCACCTCTTCCAAACCCTCCTCCGGCAGGACAAATTCCTGCCGACTTCTTGCTTGCTCTGAACGCTTCTCTAGCAGGACAAGAACCTGTCAACCGTCCACCTGCTCCGAACCTTCCTGCAGTAACACAAGAACCTGCCAATTTCCCACCTGCTCCAAGAACCCCTCCGCCGAGGCAAGGCTCTCCCTACGTTCCATCTGGCGGTTCTAGTCCTTACCGTCGGGCACTTCCTGAGGCGAGTGCAGACAATGATGACACCAATTCTGGTGCTACTCACAATGATCCAGCTTTCGCTAACCAAGTTGCTCCCCTAATGACCGAGCAGGGTGGTGGTCGACCGGCTCTGGAACCACAGCAACCTGGTTACCAGAATACTACGGCCGGTCCCGCTGTAACCGCTCCTGCTCTGGCAGCTCCCGCTACGATAGCCGGTCTCGATGATGATTTGCTCGCAGGGTTTGTCGCTGCACCAACTGATCTGAACGACCTCAATGGCTTCAATGGTGACAATGGTGACAATGGTGGGGATCCCGCAGTAGACTTGTTCATGGCACCTGCTGATAGAGCTCTTCTCGAGGCCTTCAACAATCAGCCGTCTGATCCCAATGCTGCCAATACTGCGGGCCCAGCAACAGACCCCTTAACAATTGACCCTGCACAACTTACCTTACAACCAGTTAATTACCTGCAGGGTGCAAGTCCAACTACGATGGCGATGGCAGATTTTCTTAGGAGGTTACAGAATGGGGGAGACAATGACGGTCCTCAGCAGAACTAACCAACTGCTCTTGAGAAGACTGACACAGGACGAAGCAGCACAACTTTTATGTGTTCCCGAATGCTGAGCAAGCCGGCGTTAATATTTGGCGATGACAAAAATGTCCAAGGTGTCTTTGGAACGCTGTACTGCATGGCGATACCCTTTTACACTTGATCTGCTTACCATTTTATATGATTTGTGTTTAACTGCGTTGCACATGCTTTCGCTTAGAAGGATCTTGGTTGGCGTTTATTAATCGACATTATTGATGGGTTTGCTCCTGATTGTCCCTCACTTTTAGATATCCCACTCATTCATTGTTCATGTCTAGAATGTTAGATAATCCTAATTTATGATTGACGAGGCTATTTGCTTATAGTGTGGTGATAGTTGCATGACACGTCTCATCTACATCCTGTCCTTCCTAATATGGAAATCCTTCAGGAGTCCCCAAGTCCACATCACCGTCGTCCCCGTGACATCACCGTCAGTCGATGTTGGCCCTCCATTGTCTCCCAGGAGCGTACGGTTTATTATCTCCGTACACGATAGTCTATGCACTTCAATCTTGACTGGAGAAGAAACTCAAAAAAGCACTTCTTCCTGAGAAGCAACCAGCCATAGCAACTGGCTAAATAGACGACAAATAAGCCCGGCTCTCAGGAGTCAATGATTTAAGGTGCTTCACAATGTTGACATATGAACATCACCCCTTGCTTGCTGTTCTTGAGGATGTGCACCGATCACTCCGTACGTGTATCTCGATCAAAAGCAAAAAGTACCATACCACCAAACGCTCCCAAAGAGTAGATAGTCTAGACACTCGAGGATGGTAGCTCTTCGGCTTTTCCAATCAGTATCCACCGGGATATCGCCATCACAGACTGATCTACTAGGCAACACCCATCCACGTCATCTCCCCTGAGGATCAGAACTGCTCCTAGGGGGGTACAATCCACACTCGCAGCATCACGACTTCTATACATAGAAACCAATGCATCACCCTGAAGATCAAAGCAGGTGGCACAAGTATATATAAATCCATTCCACTTGGGCGACATTCATCGGACTACTCAAGCAAACACTCCTTCCTAACAGACAAACTACTATCTCTCACTCATTCAATCACTCATCCCATATCCCACTCCAGTCACTCATTCTCTTCCCTTGATCTCAAGCATCCAAGACAACATGAGATTCACATTCCTTGCTGCTCTCGCCCTCGTCGGCACTGCTTTGGCGGCTCCTACTGCGCCTACTACCTCCACAGCCAAAGTATACAAGCCTGAAAGTCATGGTTTATTGAATGAGAAAGATTGCTAATGCGGTGACATAGATCCCGGCTGGTCAACCCTGCACGAAGGACGGAAGTATGGGCGTCTGCCAGAGCGGATACTGCCTGGTGAGTTACTCTACGTTCTCAGCTCTAAGTGGGCCTGAAGGCGAATACTGATACTCGTGGGATGGTGCAGCAAGATGAGAAGGCGGCCTCTGGAGTTTGCCAGTGAAGAAAAGAAATCCCCTCGAAAACGGGTTGCCCTTATAAGGAAGGCTTTTACATGTACATCTTAAGAAGGCTGAAGCCATGTACTTTTAATCTATTTGAATTTAATCAAGAACCTGGGCATAGTGTACTGCGCCGAAATACATACTCCCATGGATATGTTCTAGTTCTTCTATCGTCACTAAGAGGATAGATTCTAGCACAATTGAACCCATAAAAAATGGCATGACCCCCACATATGCTCGAATGAATCCCAGGGGTATCTTCCCAATTGCCGTATAGAAGTATGAAGAGACCAAAACTCCAGACCAATGTGCCTCTAACCGATAATGTGCGAAAAGAGAAAAAATATTTTCCAGACAGCTCATCTCATAACGAACGATGGCTACCGTTCAGACCGTCTGCTATTCTTTCGGAAACCGCAGCAGATGCCGTTGCTCTCACACCACTGCCTCACAAACTCTGCACTGACTTCTCTGTCCTCATGGACAAGTCCCAGTCCCTCGATGTTGAGCCAGGTGGCAAAGTCCTCCAGGATGATAGTATCGTACATCAGGATTTTCTCATGCCAGCTAGGGCGCTTGCAGTCAACGGAGAACGATCGTGGTTGCAATCGTACAGCCTTAGTTATCTGACTAGCCAGATCTGGCAGACTAGACTCTACTACAATGTCAGAAGGAGAAGGTTTGTCACCATTTGTCCGCGTCGGACTGGTTGGCGTAGCTGAAACAGGCAGAGGCTGGCTGCTCCTGCTTTCTGACATATGGCGCATGTAACGACTCTGCAGCCGACTGGGAGATGGTATGAGCTCATCTTCCGAATCCTCAATCTCCTCCACATCCGCAAATGATAACTTCGCTAACGGCTGACTCGGTTTATCCTCTAGAGCTGTGCTCGGTTTCGCCTCTTCGTTGAAACATGCGATCTCTTTCTCTGCCTTTTCAGCTGCATCCGTCCTCCAGGTTTGCTTCTTTGACTGAGATTGAATTGTGCCAGCCTTCTCCGTCGAGCCGTCATCTGGTTTCCCCGGAACCTCTTGATCCCCGGTCCGCGTGCTCATGAATTGTGCCTCCCAGCATCTTTCAAGCACTTCGATCATCTTCTTGCGACTCTTCATTGGCTTGAAACCATAAAATCTGACTTTTTTTGACAAAGTAGAGTCCTTCCAATTAGCGAATCGTGGCATTGGACGGATTTCCGACGCCACGAAGGCGGTTTCCTCCGATTTACTTTCTCTTGTTGTCAAGGTTTCCATGTGCGTGTCGACTGCCGCCTCAACTGTATCCATACTCTCTACAGGCTTGAGAGTTTTTTCCTGAAACGCTGTGTTCTCGTCGTCCCTTTCAGTTCTGTCCTGTAGCTCACCATTGGGTTTTGGTGGAAGCTCAGAAATGTCAGAAATGTCTACCATATCCAGCACCTCAATTTCAGCTAGGGATCCATCCATATCTCGAGCTGCGACAGACCACAAATCCCTTGGGGTTTGAAAGCGCGATACTGCGGTTCGAGAAAATAGCACAGACCCTGCCCTTGTGGTCGAAGAAGGCTTGCTGTTTTCAGTCATACTATTTTCTGATGCGCGTATTGCCTTTTGCATATCTCTGAGCATCGTTGGCGAGTCTTCCCGCTCCAGCTGACTGCACGTTCCGAACATCAAATCCTGGTCCTTCAAGTAATTGATGGCATCCTCAGGAGGGAGGACACAAGAGCCGATGTTCAGGGATTTAGAGCACAATTTGCCTTTAGGCAGGACGTTGTTGGTAACATCTTCTGAGGCTGTAACCATGGTGTTTGCTGTGTCCAAGGAATCTGTACCCTCATTGATGTATAGGGCGGTCACACGACCAGTAAGAGTTGTAATCTTTCTGCTCCTTTTCCTCGGCTTCCCTTCGGCTGCCGGAGCTTTCGAGGATCGAGTGCTGCCGTCATTTGAATGGTTGCTATCGACCTCCGGTGATGTCCGCTTAGAATTTGATGGGATTCGAGAGTCTACGAGCTGTAGAAAGGTCAGTATGCGCTGTAGGTTGCTGACAACCCTAGAACACATACCTCTAGTCGCCTGCGCTTCGTTGGAGCGCCATCGTCAGAAAATCTCAAGTCACCTTGAGAAGCGGTGGTAGTTTTCGAGAAGCCATATTCGGATAGAAGGTCGCCGAAGCGATTTTTATCGTCGTCAATATCATCCAATGCGACGGCTCGCTTGCCAGTATCCTTGGTAGGCGTCCAATCTAGCCTTCTCTTCATAGCTGCTTCAAGTTGTAAGCCATCCTTCTCCCACTCCAATTTGTTCGCAACGCTCTTTCCCGGTGAGACGTCCGAAGTCATGGGTTCCTTAATTTTATCTCCCGATTTGTCAGTCTCGGTGTTGCCGGATTTCGCTACTTTCCCCATGATCGTTTTGTTTTTGGACTGGGTGCGCTTATTCGCAGCGTCTGTGCGCTTTTTCTTTGATCCTGCCCCTTTCTTGGAAGTGCACTCATTGTATTTTGGAATGGGAGGCTCAGAATGGCCAAGGACCGTTTGTGACTCGTTCGTAGATTGGGTGTCTTTCACCCGTTTCTGTCTTCCCCCTCGAGACGCCGTCTTTCTCTTCGGTGCAGCCAAATGTTTCGATTTCGTCCCTGTTTCAGATCCTTCTTTCGCAGTCATCGACGAGCCATCTTTTCCATCTTGAGTCTTGAAAAACCGGGAGCGCGTGGGTTTTTGAAACAGCTCCGACGGAGAAGGCAAAGGTGAAGGGGACGAAGGGAGCGGTGATAAGCCAAATACCTTCTCCGGATCACATTTTGTCTCTGCTGGAGAGTGAGAGGGAACCTGATCTGGCGAAGATGAGAGAACGACTACGTCTGTAGCTGTGGGCATGGTGGCGAACCAGATTTGCGGCGAGGGACCGTACCCTGTCGGCAAGTCATTCGTCTGATATAGAGTCCAGAAAGATAATGCATTGTGCAGCTGCAAAGAGAGCTCAGAAAATCATTTTTTATTCCATTGTTGAACTCGATGTCACGAGTCCTAGGATGAATGAAAAAAGATGAAGGCGGAATTGTATAAAGCTTGCAGGTGTGTCAGGTGTGTCTTGGCGAATATTGTGTAATTACCACTTTAGGTAATATTGATCGGTGGGCGGGGCAACGGGTCCCATACCCCTCGCAGCTACGAAACTACATGGCGCGACAAATTTCGCTGAGAACTTCTGTATATATCAAGATGGATGTGAGATTTAGTAGGTAATTTATTTTCAGTTTCGAGAACAGTATCAAGATATATTCTAGTCCATCGCAACGTTAGTGAGCATTGACGGACTCTTGAGTGGCCCATATCGGTTACGCGCAAATTGACGCCAGCACCCAAGAACTCTGCCTTGGGTTGTGTGCTATTCGAGTTCATCATAAGGTCATATCCGGTGACAAGGAAACACTGGACGCCGCACTGTAGATTGTCGCCCCACTGCTTTAGAAGGGCAGTAAAAGGGGATTGACCCTGAAGAACCTTCGGACACGGTCATAGATGCGTTCGCGCAGGTCAATCCAAACGGCATGTAATCTTGCTCTTGTAAGATCGAGCATCGCATGAAAGATCCCCAGAGGGAGGCGGTTATAGTCGTTCAGGCAAGAAAGACTTTTGATCACGTTGCCCCCCGCAGAGCAATTGCACCTATCAACGAAAGCTCAAGTCGTCGCTTCTCCTCGTCCTGAGCGCTTAAAGCGCCCAACTTATAGGCTTTTTTAATCTTCGAAACGTCCGAGATTTCAGACAATGTCTCATCAGCGAATTGTACAGGACAACCCTCAATGGACTGCTGCAGATGCGCCGCTACCAAGTCATGAGTAACATCTGGCGTCACAGAAACTTTCACCACCAACAGATCTCTCGTCGAGTCTGTAATGCCAAATTTGCGGAAAGAGTCTGCAATCTGGAGTATTGTCAGCAATGTTCGTGAAAAGCATATCTCTTGTCCATGCACTCCGGAAACGCACATTGTTGGCGGGGCTCAAAGAGAAGACGATTTCCGAATGGACATTGCGCGACTTGAGACGCCCATTGAGATAATCATTAACCGCTCTGAAGATGGCAGAAAGGATATGTGTCCTTGAAAGAACCTTATTTCATTTTAGTATGCTTGCTCAAGTGGAGGTTTCTTATGTGGTCCATACCATGCTCGCGTCAATAAATGCATATTCAAATTCAGCATTGCCTGACAGCAGCTGCTGCCGGAGAAATGGTGCGTTTTTCACATCACGATATAGAGCTATATGAAAAGGCAGAGTTGAAGGCAGATGAGGGAGATGTATGGTCTCGAGGGACACAGTCATGGCGACAAGCACTCTTGTCTGAGATGTCAATTGCAGATACAAAGATGGCTGAGTCAACCAACTCGAAAGACTTTACCTATTCTGCACTTTCTCAGCTACGGCCTCAGATTGACCATTTAAAACAATCGCAGCTGATAATCAGTAACTCCGATTCCTCCGCAGCACAATTTCTCCTGCTCTGTGTGCCCCTCCCCTCCCCCACTATGTCAGCGTTCGTAAGCATTTGCCACGTGACTGCACTTCTCGAACGTTCGGACTCCCGTAGTGGCTGCGGCCGGAATTGCTGATATCACCGGCCCGTTGCTTTAAATACCATCGTCATCTCCAGCTTTGAGCGTCACCACTGACACCAATCCTAGTTTTGACACATTCATTGCAGTCATGGCGTTCTTTCTAAGGCGCCCCTTCGCCGTTCCAACGGCTCTTCGTCAAGCCCCTAAGGCAGCGAACACCGCTCGCTTCATCCACAACTCACCTATCAAGCCCGTTCAGTCCAAGCCTCTGGGTCCCTCCTCGTCCTCGATCTTCGCACAGTCCAGACAGACTTTCCAGAATGCCTTCCGGCGCACGTACATGCAGCCCACTTACGGCACAGCTCAGGGCAACCTCACTCAGCGCCTGCTCTATGGTGCGGCCATTGTGGGTGGCACTATCATGGCTACCAACTTCATTTTCAACCGTGAAACAAGAGAGGATGGTGGAATGCCTGACTACGAGCGAAGCTATCTGAACGAAACTTTCATGCACACCGGACTTGGTATTGGTATCATCGGTATCGCCGCTAGAGCTCTGCACATGAATGGATGGTCTTATCGTTTGATGGCAACCAACCCTTGGCTGGTTGCCGGTGTTGGTCTGGTTGCAAGCATGGGCACGATGTTCGGTACCTACTACACTTCTCCCGATAAGTAAGTTTTTCAAGTCGCTTTTCTTCTTGGATGGTATGCTGACGAATACTTAGCTATGTCATGAAGTATGGTCTCTGGGCTGCCTTCAACGTCACTCAGGCTGCGCTCCTTTCCCCTTTGATGTTCATGCACCCTGCTCTGCTCGCTCGTGCCGGTCTCTACACTGTTGGCATGATGGGTTCGATTGCGTTCGTCGGTGCCACCGCGAAGCAGGAGAAGTACCTTTACCTAGGTGCTCCTCTCCTCGCTGGTGTGACCGTCGTTGCTCTTTCCGGCTTGGCTCCCCTCGTTATTCCCGCCACTGCCACACGTGCTCTGATGTGGTCCGAGAAGATTTGGTTGTACGGTGGTCTCGCTGTATTCGGTGGCTTCACCCTTTATGACGTCCAAAAGATCCTGCACCACGCTCGTTTGGCCCAAAGAGGACTTGTTCGCAGGGATGTCGTCAACGAGAGCATCAGCCTCGAGCTAGACTTCATCAACATCTTCGTCCGTATGGTACAGATTTTGGCCATGCAGCGCCAAAACCGGAAGTAAGCGTGATCTTGCTTTGAAGTGAAATCGACATCTACCATGGATCGGTTTTGCCTCCTACCACACTTAGCCCGCACGGATTCAGGACAGAACAATAGTGCGCAGGAAGTTGGTGTCTTCTGACTCGACATCTCCAAGGTCTCGTTTGTATGATAATTGAGTTACAGTTGTTCAAGAACTGGCTTTTAGGGTGTATGGTTTTTTCTGGAGGTTTTCTGATTTTAGCACCTCTAACAGCCAGGCATGGCATTTGGTTGGCATACTATACCCTTCTCAAGATCGGAGGTCTAGAAGGGTTTCACCACCGAAGTCTACAAATTCTGGTATAGCTAGAAATAGTGGGAAGACAATCTCCACTCATATAAAGTGACATTAAGAAAAGGAGGAAAGCAATTTGCGAGCTACTGATTCTGTGCTAGAAGAGTTGTGGTAGTACTTTTCATCACGATTGAGCGTAAGAGGCTGCCTTGGGGTACATCACATCTAGATTGATTGAGAGATTATATAACAAATGCGTTCAAGGTGAATATTGAAAGGATGTAGTAGGACTCAACACCATCATATCATACATGAAACCAAACAACCGATTGACAATAGGATCAAGGTGGGCCAATTCAAGAACCTATTACCAGAAGATTGCATCGTGTTCTTTTTCAGCGTAAGATACGTCGTCCCATTCGACCTCCCGAATCCGCATAAACCACTTCCTTCCATCATGTCGGCGGGAAAAAGGACCCGAGGCTCGCCTTGATCCATGCTGACCTTGAGAAGTCCCATGTCATTAACCGAGTAGTTGACGCAAGTGAGCACATCCATGACCACAAATCCAGGTTCGTAGCCTATTAGCATGTCCAGCTCATATTTGCCGCTGTTCGTGCCTTGAGATGACAAGACCATCACAAGTTGCCGGCCCTCGACGCCTTTGCGGAAGCCCATCTCGCTAGACCCTGTGTAGATGGGGTAGGTCTGTGAGTCAATATACGCTGGATCAATTTGGGCTGCATGCTTTCGGATTCTGTTCAGTTTCGTCGCTAGTTGGTAAAGCGGAGCGTTGGTGTCGTAACCTGAAAGCCATAAGGCCTCGCGGTTCTCCGGGTCATTGGCCCCTGAGAAATGTTGTTCTTGCCCTTGGTAAATCATCGGTATGCCGTCGAACAGCATCGTGAATGTGAGAACGTTTTTAGCGAGCTGCGCCAGGGTTAGTCTATTATCGATTGAATACTTGGAAAGGGCAACTTGAGTTCGCTTCCTTACCGCGATGTCATCCTTGAAGCTTGCAAATCGGGGCACGTCGTGGTTTTCCGAGAACGAAGTAAGGGCCGTAACATCAGAACATGTCTGTTTCATAACCTCTACCTGATTCGTCAGAGAGCTTGTGTTGGCTTTCGTAAATGCCTCCAAGATGGAATAATAGATGGGATAATTCGGGACACTGGGGAGGTCATTTTGATATCCGCAGATCGTCTTCACGGATGGCTCGAAAACTTCGCCAGTGATGAAGGCGCCAGAAGCGTTATGGAACAATGGCAGAAAGCTTGGTGTAACATGCTTGGCTGCATCCAGACGTAGACCGTCGATTGAATATGTAGTCATCATTTTTCTAATCCAGTCCGAGAGCATGCTCTGAACTTGGCTATCTTCTGTCTTTAGATCTGGAAGAGGAACAATATCATCACCTGTCCAGCAAGTCTGCGCCAATGGATAGTTGTCATAGTCGGTTATCTTGCAATATGGATGAAAGAACATTGCGTCATTGAATGGGCTGAGCGCCGAATAGTCAATGCTCGTTGCCGGGTTTCGTCCGTTGGTGATGTACGCCAAGTTGTTGATGACAGTATCTACCATCAAATACATGCCCCGGTCATGAACAGCCTTGCTCAAGTCTAGCAGGTCCTGGTGAGTGCCAAAGTGTGGGTTTAGCGCATACATATCCTGGACCCAGTAGCCATGATAGGCTTCTCCGTACTGCACGCGTCCCTCGACATTCTGGGCTATTGGGGAGATCATGATGGCGTCAAACCCCATTCCTTGAATGTAATCGAGGTGTTCAATTGTACCTCTCCATGAACCACCACAGCGCAGCCCTTCTGTGGTGTTGCATGGATGAGTGGTGGACCCATCGGTACGTGCAAATCTGTCCGTCATGGTTTGATAGATAGACCTGGACTTCCATGCACTCGTATCTGCAGCCAAGGACGGCACGAGCAGGTCAAGCCCTACAGTGATGCAGAGCCACTGCAGGATTCGCAATGAGTGTGACATTGCAGTGGAGATTGCCGCTTCAAGCAAGAGAGGGCAAGGATGATATTAGAATAGGATGAATGACAATGACACAACGAAAGCATGAAGTGAGCAAGATCGAGACCACAGGAACAAGTCACTCCCCATGTAGCTGCTGAGGAATATGTTGTATGGTTCAGTAACCTGCTGAACCCATAAGATTGTAGGACTGAATCAGTATCGGAATGATGGTAGCAGCCTCTTGCAGGAAGCAATGACTCAGGACAGAAAGGAATGTATGGCCAAATGGATCATTGACCACAGCAGCAACCAGAGACAAGGATTAACGAAAGACAGTCCTGAATCAATACCATGGGAAATGAAGCATCTACCAATGCCAGACGAAGTGCCCAAAGAGCGAACGTGTGATGTTCTTTGAACAAGCGACTGAGACGCAATGAGTGGATAAAAGAGAGACGAAGCTGAATGATGTTAGAGAGAGCCGGAGATGCGGATTCAGAGACTCATTTGAATCATAAAGTGAGTGACCGAGATTGGAAGGGAATATAGGACAGTAAGCTGAAAGTCATATTGGGGAAGAAAAGAGTTGCAAAGCGAGGAGGAAGGGGGAAAATGAATCGAGGCAGGATGAGCATCTGTGCCTTATTTTATTCCTGCATAGAGAGTTAAATTGAATCTCTACTCGCTCTCGAGTCTCGAGGTATAAGAAGGAGACCTTCCATATGTTGTTTATCATCTGTCGATGATTTGTAGTCTTGACTGAAATTATCATTCCCCCTGCTTCCCTCCCTTTCGAGACTTCTATCAACTTAACACGCTCGGTGAGACAAGGGATATTCAGTCGAAATAGCTCATGGACTTTATATCAACCAACCAAGCATAATCTCATTGTGTCCGCGATGGTTAGCTTGAAAGCGGACCGCGGCCGGACTGAAGATATCGGTGCTCTCCCAAGTTCCCTTTTGCAAGCAGACCTTATCACTGCATACTCGACGGGAGAGCATTTAGGCATTTTGCACGAGTCTTGAACTACCATTCCGCTTCGGTAACTCATGTAGTATTGGACGAGTCCGATAGCATAGCTTCACAAAATTGAACGCCTCCAGCAGGAAGAACAGCTTGAACTGGGGCTACAACAGCTATTCTGCAACCCCAAAGACCAAAGCTATTGGATGGACGGCTACAGATCGTCAGGTCGCCATATGAAACTTGTAAGTTGTCTTAAAGTCAGTTCAATCATGCAAGGGCGGCATCAACAAAGGGAGGAAAGGGAGAGACACCAACTCTTTTAACCGTCTCTAGAAAACATCTACCACAATGTCAAGTAGACTCATGGGTGAATGCGTTATGAGCGTACGGCTTAAGTAGTTAAATAGAGCTGGTATGCAAATCCGTGGAGCTCTGGTGGTGGTTGTCAGGAGGAAGCGTGACCTCTGTTGCGGATCACTCCTTGGTCTTCCTTCTGCAACACCACAACTTACACATCCATCCACCGTTCATCCATTGAAGACCTACAGCCAGATTTAGACCTTTTTTGAAATTGTATATCAAAGATGAAATCCATGCTTCGAGCTACCTTGATGAGGATGGGTATTTTCACAAAGGGAGGTTGTTCAATTCCTCCAAATATGAATTTTCCTGTCTAGGCTTACACTAGGTAGCATTATGCATTGTCCTCGGGAGTCGGGACAGAGAACCGTCGACATGATTCGTCTCAATCAACCATAGGTTAATAACATCCAAGATCGGGCATAATTGAACTAATATCAGCCAAGACCCTCGTGCGTCGCAATCAAAGTTCAAAGTTGAGCTCCATCAAGGTCGTCAGATGACTTCTGTTCACTTTCCTCCCACAAGAATACTGATCAAAACGGCATTGATAGCCCAAAATTCTCCATTGAATCGACTGATATTGTCGAAATACATGCCGATTGAGACATCTGCGCAGTATTTGTGCCGTCAGCCGCTTCGCTTAGGAGACGACCATGTCCACCGGTTTTGCTTCAGCGACCTCCAATTCATTGAAATCGGTCTTCTCAGGCCACAATTCGCTTTCAATGACTTTCCAGTTCAAGCCTGCTATGCCGGGAGCGCCCGCCATGTTCACCAGAAGACACCACTGCTCTTTCGAGATCCTGTGAAAGGTTGAGAGAATGAGGGCCACCGTTTTCCACTCATGAATCCGTTTACCTGGTAGGAGGATTTCAATTTTCTGTTCAGACCAGTCACAGCAGTACACATCAGTGTACAGCTTGCTGTCTTCCATCGGCATGAATCCGAAATGTTTCACCCTCATACGCATCTTATGTCCTTTGACGTCGCAGAGTGACTCTCTCACTTGAAGAGATAGCAAAAGCGACTCGTCGGCAAGGCCATGCATGTTGACGAAGTGGACGCTCTGCGCATCAATCTTCAGGTAAGTGACACGGAATGTTTTGCGAGTCTTAGGATCCTTGGTTATCTCTCGTATTATCATGGTGTGCAAGATCAGGTCGAAGAACACATCAAGCTCAGAATCAGGCTGATGTAGCTCGCGAGTTTGCTCCGGTCCAGAACCACGCAGGAATATTTTGATGCTCGGTGGCTTTTCTGGAGGCTTCTTGGGCTTTGGCTGGCAAGCACAGTTTGGATCGTCGCTGTTGTCCAGAAAGGGTAATCTGTCAGTGTTCCTGTCAAGAAGTTTGGCTGCTTTAGATTTGGAACTCACCACTGCATTTCGAATCGAGCCTTGATGAATTGATGAGAAGTATATTTACTCCTCT